CATGTAGTGTGTTTTTGCCCGCGTTTTGTTTTAAATCTGCCTAGCAACAAGAAAAAAAAAAAGCAAAACGCAGGTGCAAAAACGCAATATAGAAACGGCTCAAACGCAACCTGCATAGGTATGAACCTAGCCCTAGGGGCTCATTCAAACTAGTGTTGCTGTTGGAAAAGCACTATGCGCCCGGATCTCTCTTTAGAGACAGGCGGTTAGGAAGAGTTTATAACCCCTTGGACCCTGCACTAGCATGCCACACTGAGGGACCTAAGGGGTTAATCCTCCACATTGTGTCAAAAGGCTGTTTGATCCTGTCTTCTCTGATCCTCCCCTTCTTCTACTGTCAATCAATCTTCTGATAGTACAGGACTGTAGAAGGCACTCTGCACATGCTCAGTTTAGTGTGTATTGCTAGAGAGTTGGGGTTTTTTTTGCATGGGATCAGCACAGGGCCAATCAGCACTGTCCAGAGAGAGGGTCAGGCAGCCTCATAGGATAGTCAGAGGAGAATGAAAACTCCTACAAGATTAACCAGTGCTCTGCTGGACACTGATAGAAGTCACAAGACTGCTATATACTGCTGAAGAGAAAAGGGATTTAGCAGTTTATATTTACTAAATTAATTGCATTTCCATGTTCTGTGTACTGAGGGAGACCGGATATAGTGAATGCGGGGCCCGGGGAGAGCTAATATAGTGAATGCGGGGTCCAGGGGAGAGCGGATACAGTGAATGCGGGGTCCGGGGAGAGCGGATACAGTGAATACGGGGTCCGGGGAGAGCGGATATAGTGAATGCGGGGTCCGGGGAGAGCGGATATAGTGAATGCAGGGTCCGGGGGGACCGGATATAGTGAATGCGGGGGTCCGGGGAGAGCGGGATATAGTGAAGTTGCGGGGTCCGGGGAGAGCGGATATAGTGAATGCAGGGTCCGGGGTAGGAGCAGATATAGTGAATGCGGGGTCCAGGGAGAGCGTATATAGTGAATGCGGGGTCCCGGGGAGAGCGGATATAGTTGAATGCGGGGTCCGGGGAGAGCGGAAAATAGTGAATGCGGGGTCCGGGGAGAGCGGATATAGTGTGACTGCGGGGTCCGGGGAGAGCGGATATAGTGAGTGTCGCGGGTCCGGGGGGAGAGCGGATATAGTGAATGCGGGGTCCGGGGAAGAGCGGGATATAGTGAAATGCAGGGTCTGGGAAGAGCGGATAATAGTGCGGGAATTGCAGGGTCCGTGGAGTCCGGATATAGTGAATGCGGGGTCCGGGGAGACCGGGATATAGTGAATGCGGGTCCGGGGGTCCGGGGAGACCGGATCCGTATATAGTAGTGCGGGGTCCGGGGAGACCGGATATAGTGAATGCGGGGTCCGGGGAGACCGGATATAGTGAATGCGGGGTCCGGGAGAGCGGATATAGATGAATGCGGGGTCCGGAAGGAGAGCGGATATAGTGAATGCCGGGTCCGGGGGAAGAGCGGATGGATATAGTGAATGCGGGGTTCCAGCGGGGAGACCGGATATAGTGAATGCGGGGTGTCCCGGGAAGGAGCGGATATAGTGACTGCCGGGTCCCGGGGAGAGCGGATAATATAGTGAATGCGGGGGGTCCCGGGGAGAGCGGAATATAGTGACTGCCGGGTCCGGGGAGAGCGGATATAGTGAATGCGGGGTCCGGGGAGAACGGATATAATGAATGCGGGGTCCGGAGTGACTGACTGCCTGCCTGCCTGTTTAATCACAAGTAGAGGTGCGGAGGCGGACCTGATGGGAAACTGGGTGTCTTAGCTTCCCCATCAAGCTCTGATAGCCGTTGACGGGCAGGGAGGGGAGGCTGGTGCCCAGCTACATAGTGTACAGAAACAGGCACTCTGCCTGTCTCTGTACATCAACTTTGAGTTGCTCTTAATTTTACCCCCCCAGTTTTGTTCCTTCTAGTGTGCTATGTTACTAACTGCCCATAAAAAAAAGAACTTTCACTTTCGTTGAGAAGAGCAAATATATGCCTAAAGAACATTCGTTTTTTTTTCTTGCCTTTTGCCCGGTTTTGCGCGAACAAAATGTACATGCGAATGCTCACTTTTTTATTGACCCCATTGTATGTCCTATTATTTTTCTATAAATAAACTTCTCGGTATCTCTCCAGTTGCTCTATTGAATGTAAGAATGTCAGGATAAAACAAACATAAAAATCGTAGTCATTATCATTATTTATTTACTTTTTTCATATATTGTTTCACAAAGTTGATACAAATTAACAAAGCTTTAATCATCCTTCTCGAGCCCCACTTTCATGTATTTTATTACTTACTTGCATTGAGAAGTTTCATGGGGGTTATCATTTTTTTTGTAGTATGCTGACATCTAGTGGCTGTTTTGGGGCACTGCAGCAACTTGTTTACTATGTAAATGGTATTGTCCTCTTGGCTCACATATATACGTTTTGATGCATTTGATGCTTTCTCTCCGGTGCCCTTTGCAGTTTTGTTTTGCGTTTTTCTACATGCGTTTTTACCACAATTTTGTTCAGCTCTTTTTTTTTTGTTAAAGTGGAATTTTTTTTGTTGCTGGGCAGAGTAAAAAATGCAAACACTGACATGCTTTAGGCAAACGACAAAAAAGCACTACCATGCTTTTCAGTGTCGGACTGGAAGGGGAGTCGGAAAGTGTCCCGGACTGGAAGGGGGTGAAAGTGTCCGGACTGGAAGGGGGGTTGAAAGTGTCCGGACTGGAAGTCCGGGGGTGAAAGTGTCTGACACTTTCCTTCCCCTCCCAGTTTTCGGAATGGGGGGGTGAGTCCAGCAGCTTCTCCAATGAACTCTACACTTTGAAGCCAAACAACGCTGCTTTTTGCTTTTAAAACACTTCCTGTCCAGGACACTTTTCACCCCACTTCCAGTCCGACACTTTCGGACACTTTCCTCCCCTTCCAGTCCGGGACACTTTCCCCCCTTCCAGTTCCAGGACACTTTCCCCCCCTTCCAGTCCGGACACTTTCACCTCCACGACCCCTTTCCAGACACTTTCCCCACACCTTCCATCCGGACTTTTCACCCCCTTTCCAGTCCCAGACACTTTTTTCCCCCCCCCCCCAGTTCCGGACACTTTCTCACCGGACACCCTTCCAGTCCAGAAACGCTTTCACCCCCATTCCAGTCCAGACGACTTTCTCCCCCTTCCAGTCCGGACACTTTCCACCCCTTCCCAGTCCGGACACTTTCACCCCCCCTTCCAGTCCGGACACTTTCACAACCCCCTTCCTGTCCCGGACACTTTTCACCCCCTTCCAGTCCGAGTCCAAACTTTCCCTTTCAACCCCTTCCAGTACGGACACCTCCACCCCCCTTCCGTCCAGGACACTTTCCCCCCTTCCAGTCAGGACACTTTTCCCCCCTTCCAGTCTGGGACACTTTCCCCACCTTCCAGTCCGGGGAACACCTTCCATTCCCCCCTTCCAGTCCAGACACTTTCCCCCCCTTCCAGTCCGGACACTTTTCACCCCCTGTCCAGTCCGGACACTTTCCCAGTCCCGACACTTTCCCCCCCTTCCAGTCCGGACACTTTCACCCCCCCAGTCCCCGCTCCCAGCCCCTTCCAGTCCGGACACCTCCACACCCCCCTTCCAGTCCAGTACACTCCTTCCCCCCCTTCCAGTCCGGTCCGGACACTTTTCACCCCCTTCCAGTACGGACACCTCCACCCCCCTTCCAGTCCGGACACTTCCGGAACACTTTCACCCCCTTCCAGTCCGGACACTTTCCCCCCTTCCAGTCCGGACACTTCCCCCCCCCCCCCCCCCCAGTCCGGACACTTTCACCCCCCTTCCAGTCCGGACACTTTCCCCCCCCTTTCCAGTCCGGACACTATCACCCACCCCCCTTCCAGTCCGGACACTTTCCCCCCTTCCAGTCCGGACACTATCACCCCCCTTCCAGTCCGGACACTTCCCCCCCCCCCTTCCAGTCCGGACACTTTCACCCCTTCCTGTCCGGACCAATTTTCAGCTTTTAGCGCTATCACACTTTGAATGACAATTGCGCGGTCATGCAACACTGTACCCATAGGAATTTTATGAACCCAAATTAGTTCATAACCAAAAATTATAATTTTTTAAAACATTTTTTTTACATTTTTATTTCATTTTTTTTATATTATTATTTATGTTTTTTTTAACATACTGTCACCCCCTAGCAGTACAGGGTCACCATGGTGACACTGTACTACTTGTGGGGGGGTGAGGAAGATTTTTTTTTTTTTACACTGATTGCTTTTACACCCATAAAGGCTGTAAAAGCAATCATTTCTCCTCCTCTCTGGCTGCATTCTTGCAGCCATTGAGAAATACTGTGAGAGCTGTGATTGGTCACAGCTTGTTACATGGTACAAGGCTGTTGTGAATGGCCCTGTACCATGTGATCTCGGTGATCATTCACAGATTTCACTAGTAGTAAGCAATGCTGTCAGAAGTGACATCGTGCTTACTACTATTCGTGTGATCACATGACCGGGACCTCACACAGAGGTATAGTACAACGATCGGTGTCCCACTGTGTCTGGAGGACATAATGCACACCGGATCACGGTGCTGCACACTCCCAGAGAGTGCGCACAAGCAGGGGGCGGGGAGGCCGTTTATAAATGGCCACCCGCCCCTGCACTGCCACGGCTGGACCGGAAGTGGTTGAAAAAGTGTTTCCTCAGTCAGTGTTACTACTTTATAGAGATGGGGGTCATTGTTTTCTTACACTTCCAATGACGGGAAAAACGTTGTCTGTACTGTATTTATCTGAAGTAAAGTTGTGTTGGATTCAACTTCTCTTAGTGAAGAGTTAAGCTGCCTGTGGATGGTGCTAAGTAAGCAGGTGACCATACTGTCTGAACAGACTGGTCTAAGGAGTTATGTCAATGCATAAAGCGACATTTTAAACAGAACAATTATGTTCATCTGTTCCTAGGTAAAACGGCGCTGATTGTTTTGGCTCACCAGGAGCGGACGTCTTTTAATTATGCAATGAAGGAGTCGGCAGTGAGCGCCCTGAAGAAGAAAGGATGGAACGTGATCGAGTCTGACCTCTATGCCTTGAAGTTTAATCCCGTGGCGTCGCGGGATGACATAACAGGTAATTTATTCTACATTGGTAAAAAAATCGACTTCTTTATAATATTACGGATTATACACGGCTCAAAAAAATGAAAGGAAGACTTTGAAAACCCATCAGATCTCAATGGGGAGGAGTCTCCTGCTGGACCTCTATACTGACATGGTCGGGGGATGGGTGAGGAACATAAGGATGGGTTTGATGGAAATGATGATCGACCTACAGAGGACTGAATTCACAGACACCTCGAAAATCAAAGTGAAGAAATGATGCAGCAGGCGAGTCCATGCTGGTGAAATGTCATTGCAGCAACTCAGAATGGTCCTCAGTAGTCTGTGTGGCCCCCACGTGCTTGTATGCATGCCTGACCACGTCGGGGGAGTGTCCTAATGAGACCACAGATTGTGTCCTGGGGGATTTGCTGTCTGGACCAGGGCATCACTGAGCTCCTGGACAGTCTGAGGTGCCAGCTGGTAGCGTCGGATGGCCCGAAACATGACATCCCAGAGATGTTCTACTGGATTTATGTCAGGCGAGTGTGGGGGCCATTCAATGGTATCAATTCCTTCATCCTCCAGGAACCGCCTGCATACTCTCCCCACATGAGGTCGGGCATTGTCCTGCAGCAGGAGGAACCCAGGACCCCCTGCACCAGGAGGAACCCAGGACCCACTGCACCAGCGTAGGGTCTGACAATGGGTCCAAGGGTTCCATTGCGATACCTAATGGCAGTCAGGGGGCCATTGTCTAGCCTGTAGAGGTCTGTGAGTCCCTCCTCTCTGCTGTCGACTGCTGAGACGGGGGGTGCAGAGATGAGCCTCTCCGCAGCTGCACAGAGAAGCGCAGGACACACAAATCTATCTCTCAACCCCCCACCTCACCCCCTCGGTCTCCGCCCGAATCACACACCTACTGAGCGACATATCAGACTGGATGTCGCTCCACTTCCTTAAACTGAACCTCTCCAAACCTGAGTTTCTTGTCTTCCCCCCCAGCCCGGACCCCACCCCCCACTGACTTCTCCATCACGTCCAACAACGCCACCATCAAACCCGCCCCGCAGGCCAGAGTACTTGGTGTCATTCTGGACTCCAACCTATCCTTCCAGCCCCAAGTCCAATCTTTAACAAACTCGTGCAGACTCCACCTCCGCAACATGCAGACTCCGCCTCCGCCGCAACATGCAGACTCCACCTCCGCAACATTGCCAAAATCCGCACGTTCCTAACCCCAGAAACCACTAAACAGCTCATCCACTCCCTCATCATATCACGACTCGACTACTGCAACTCCCTCCTCACTGGCCTGCCTCGCCGCTGGCTATCCCCGCTTCAGTCCATCCTGAATACGGCTGCCAGACTCATTCACCTTTCCAACCGCTCCATCTCCGCCACCCCCCTCTGCCAATCCCTCCACTGGCCTCCACTCAGTGTCCTCCACCCCCCTCTGCCAATCCCTCCACTGGCCTCCACTCAGTGTCCTCCACCCCCCTCTGCCAATCCCTCCACTGGCCTCCACTCAGTGTCCTCCAGCCCTCTCTGCCAATCCCTCCACTGGCCTCCATTCAGTGTCCTCCACCCCCCTCTGCCAATCCCTCCACTGGCCTCCATTCAGTGTCCTCCACCCCCCTCTGCCAATCCCTCCACTGGCTTCCGATTGCCCAACAGGTCAAATTCAAAATCCTAACACTGACGTACAAAGCCGTCCACCATACTGCCCCGAACTACATCACTGACCTAATATCCAAGTACCGCCCAACACGCACACTCCGCTCCTCACAAGACCTCCTTCTCTCTAGTTCCCTGGTCTCCTCCTCCCATGCCCGCCTCCAGGACTTCTCCAGGGTGTCACCCATCCTCTGGAACTCCCTGCCCCAACCCATCAGATTATCACCTACTCTCCTCTCCTTTAGGCTCACCCTGAAAACCCATCTCTTCAGGGAAGCCTACCCCACCCCCTGCTAACTTGCCGACCTCCTCCACTCTTCCTACCACCCCATCCCCCACAGCTATCTCCTCCTGTGCCACCATCCCCTCCCTCCTAGATTGTAAGCTCGAAAGAACAGGGCCCTCAATCCCCTCATGTTTTGCATTGTATTGGTATTGTTCTGTCACATGTTCTGTCCCCCTTTGTAATGTACAGCGCTGAGCCTACTATTGGCGCTTTATAAATACTGTATAATAATAATCTGATGGAGGAGTTCTGTCCTCTCTGCTGATGACTGCTGAGACAAGGTGGGACAGGGAAGCTGGTCAGAGTTGATGGGAAGATGGATGGAGCCAAATACAGGGCAATCTTAGAAGGTTTTCTTCTGTCCTTCTATTAGAGTCTGCAAAAGACTTGAGACCGGGGCGGAGCTTCACCTTCCAGCAGGACAACGACCCAAAACATGTTGACTTCGGGGGGCCGAATACAAACGCCGCCACACTTTTCACAGATTTAATGGTCACAAATGTTGAAAACCATTTCTCATTTTCCTTCCACTTCACAATTATGAGCCACTTTGTGTCGGTCCATCACATTCAATCCCAATAAATACATTGTACCAACATGTAGATATGGGGTATGAGGGGTATGAAAACTTTTTCAAGGCACTGTAGACCTGAATGTATTAACAAATTGATCTTAGAAAAGCGCCACACCCTTCATTATATATAGCAGCAACTCCAAATCCCAAAAATTACTTTGGCATTAAATAAATCAAGGATAGGAATGAGCTAACAAAACACATTAAAAAGTGTCCATAAATCAATATGTGAAAGTCCAAAACATCATAAAATATAAAGTAACTCGTGTGAAAAAATATATAACACCGTCAGCAATCCACCAGCGAATAAATTGAATGCACTCACCAGAGCTAAGTGCTGATCAAATGATAGACCAGCCTCAGCACTTTTGCTCTGGGAGCGATGAAAGCAGCAAACTCCAGACTTTTGGTGCAATACTCTGCAGTGGTCATTTTCAGCTGACACCCCTCTGTAGTATAGGCAGAATTTTAGGAGGAATACTCTGCAGCCACTCTTTTTTATGAGTGAGTAATCACCATAGCTCCATGTGCATTGGGACCATATTCAGAGACAAAAGAAGAATATAATGGTGCAGCATGTCTTTATGCGTTTATTAACCACTTCCTGTCCAGACACTTTCACCCCCTTCCTGTCCAGGGCAATTTTCAGCTTTCAGCGCTATCACACTTTGAATGACAATTGCGCGGTCATGCAACACTGTACCCATATGAATTTTTTACCATTTTTTTTGAGACAGATAAAGCTTTATTTTGGTGGTATTTATTCACCGCTGGGATTTTTATTTTTTTTACTATGTAAATGAAAAGTTCAAAAATTTTGAAAAAAAGTTTTTTTTTTTTTAAATAAAATTTTGCAAATAATTAATATTTCATCATAAATCTTGGCCAAAATTTATTCCGTTATTTTTTTAATTAAAAAAAAAAAAATCCAAATTAGTTTATAACCAAAAATTATAATTTTTAAACTTTTTTTTTTAATTTTTATTTTATTATTTTTATATTATTATTTTTATTTATTTTTTTTTTTTTACATACTGTCACCCTAGCAGTACAGTGTCACCATGGTGACACTGTACTACTTGTGGGGGTTGATGAAGATTTTTTTTTTTTTTTTTTTTTTTTTTTTACACTGATTGCTTTTACACCCATATAGGATGTAAAAGCAATCATTTCTCTTTCTCTCTGTCTGCAATCTTGCAGTCATTGAGAAATACTGAGTGAGCTGTGATTGGTCACAGCTTGTCACATGGTACAAGGCTGTTGTGAATAGCCTTGTACCATGTGACCTCTGGGATCATTCACAGATTTCACACGTGACACAAGTGACATCTTGCTTACTACTTTGCATGTGATCACTGATTGCCAATCAGTGATCACATGATCGGGACCTCGTACAGAGGTCCCGTCCGACGATCGGTGTTTTCACTGTGTCCGGAGGACACAGCGGGGCACCGGATCGCGGTGGTGCGCGCTCCCAGGGAGCGCGCACAGCTAGAAAAGGCGGGTGCCGTTTAGGAACGGCAACCCGCCCCTGGACTGCCACCGCCCTGCCGTTTATAAACAGCAGGCGGACGGCAAGAGGTTAAAAGATTAAAAAGCCACTCACAAATAAGGTGTCTAAACCGACACCAGCATCGATCGCATAGGCAAGGAAAAGAAAACAGAAGCTCCACTCGATTCAGCTGTCTTCCGACAATCGCAGGGAGCGTCCTGACGTCAGCATCCGAATGGCCCCACCCTACGCGTTTCGTCACCACGACGTCCTCACGGGGTGGTCTTTTGTCTCTGAATATGGTCCCAGTGCACATGGAGCTATGGTGATTACTCACTCATGAAAGAGTGGCTGCAGAGTATTACTCCTAAAAATCTGCCTATACTACAGAGGGGTGTCTTCCAGCTGAAAATTACCACTGCAGAGTATTGCACCAAAAGTCTGGAGTTTGCTGCTTTCATCGCTCCCAGAGCAAAAAAGCTGAGGCTGGTCTATCATTTGATCAGCACTTAGCTCTGGTGAGTGCATTCAATTTATTCACTGGTGGATTGCTCACGGTGTTATAGACCTGAATGTCACCTTTTCACTCTTTCTGCAGGTAAACCTACTGATCCAGATCATTTCAAGTATTCAGCAGAGACTGCGCAGGCGTGGAAGGAAGGCCGCCTTGCCAAAGACATCGTTGAAGAACAGAAGAAGCTTGAAAAGGCCGATCTTGTCATTTTCCAGGTACGTCTATTATAGTATATCTACAACAAAGCCATCCGCGCCCCTGCCGAGGAGATTCGCCCTCTTTGTCCTGGTGACCGTTATCACAGTGATGAGGAATCCAAAAATGTGACATCCGTCACCAAAACTGGGATATAGGAGAAACTTTGTTCTGGTGACAACTGTCTAAGTGGGGATTTCCCTCGCTTTGAGGAATTTCCTTCCATTTCCTGTTGCCTCTCTGGGACAGGAAGTAAAGGGAAATCTCCCCCATTGGACAACCAAAAAAAAGAAACAGTTCATTTGAAGATCATTGTTCGATTCTCTGCCCATTCACATTCCATTTTTTTCATCAGTTCAGTCACGTTTTTTTTCCACGAAAAACGGATCAGTTTACATCAGTGTGTCATCAGTTTATGTCAGTTCACATCCGTTTTTTGTCCGTTTTGCATCCATTTTTCATCCATTTACTTGCATTCACTATATCCCGCTCTCCCCGGACCCCGCATTCACTATATCCGCTCTCCCCCGGACCCCGCATTCACTATATCCGCTCTCCCCGGACCCCGCATTCACTATATCCGTTCTCACTATCCCCGGACCCCGCATTCACTATATCCCTGGACCCCGCTCTCCCCGGACCCCGCATTCACTATATCCGCTCTCCCCAGACCCCGCATTCACTATATCCTCCTCTCTCCCCCCGGACCCCGCATTCACTATATCCGCTCTCCCCGGACCCCGCATTCACTATATCCGCTCTCCCCCGGACCCCGCATTCACTATATCCGCTCTCCCCCGGACCCCGCTCTCCCCCGACCCCGCATTCACTATATCCGCATTCACTCTCTCCCCCCCGACCCCGCATTCACTATATCCGCTCTCCCCGGACCCCGCCTTCACTATATCTGGTCTTCCTGGACCCCACATTCAGTATATCCGCTCTCCCTGGACCCGCATTCACTATATCCGCTCTCCCCGGATCCCGCATTCACTATATCTGGTCTTCCCGGACCCCACATTCATTATATCCACTCTCCCTGGACCCCGCATTCACTATATCCTCTCTCCCCGGACCCCGCATTCAGTATATCCGCTCTTTCTGGACCCCGCATTCACTATATCCGCTCTCCCTGGACCTTGCATTCACTGCCTTCTCTTCTCTTCTCTAAAAGCTGTTCAAAGTTTAGAATTTATAAAGCTTGCCTGAGAGCTCAGAAAAAAAGGGGATGGAGACCTGAAATTACACTCTGCAGAGCTCAGAGAGCTGATTGTAGGAAAGAGACACCCTATATCTCTAGTATTTTTCTTGTATGGAAGGGTTTACAACCACTTTAAGAAGATTGGCAGAGCTGCTCCGGGGTGCATGGTGTCTCCTGAGTCCTGAGCTGCTCTGTAACACATTTACCAAGCTGCACCTGACTCCCCCTGTTGGTTCCTATTGGTTAGTTAGGCTGCCCATCAAAGTGTGCGTGAGACAACCACAGAAGCGATGCTGCCCCATCTGTTAGATTGTTTGCTGGTCTTCCTCTTTTATCTTTCTGTGCGTGTTTGTTTGCAGTTTGTCATGCGTTTCAATGTAGTATTTGATGCACAGCACTATGTATGATATTCATCATTTACAGGTAAAGGATAATGACAATAAATCGTTGTGTTTTGTATTACAGTTTCCCGTGTATTGGTTTGGGATGCCCGCCATAATGAAAGGATGGCTCGATCGAGTGTTGACTTTGGGTTTTGCCTACACTTTTCAGACCATGTTCTCAGAAGGACTATTCAAGTGGAAGAGAAGAAGTGATCCTCGACCATTGCAAAGAATACAAGGAACACATTGTACCTGTCTGAGGTTTCCTAGAGGGTAGTGGAAGACTGAGGCTCCATGCACACTAGCGTTCTTTTTTAGGCTCGAAAAACACTTGAAAAAGAAAAACCCTGAATGTAAAGAGATAATAGCATTGAAGCAACTCAGAATGGTCCACAATGGGTTGTATGGCCCCCACGTGCTTGTATGCATGCTTGACAACGCCGGAGCATGGTCCTAATGAGACAACGGATGGTGTCCTGGGGGATTTCCTCCCAGATCTGGACCAGGGCATCACTGAGCTCCTGGACAGTCTGAGGTGCAACCTGGTGGCGTCGGATGGACCGAAACATGACATCCCAGAGGTGTTCTATTGGATTTAGTTCAGGCGAGTGTGGGGGCCGTTTAATGGTTTTAATTCCATCATCCTCCAGGAACCGCCTGCATACTCTCACCACATGAGGCCGGGCATTGTTGTGCACCAGGAGGAACCCTGGACCCACTGCACCAGGAGGAACCCAGGAACCCCTGCACCAGGAAGACCCCAGGACCCACTGCACCAGCGTAGGGTCTGACAATGGGTCCAAGGAGTTCATCCCGATACCTAATGGCAGTCCTTCCATGGATATGCCTTCCCAGACCATCACTGAGCCACCACCAACACGGTCATGCTGAACCATGTTACAGGCAGCAGAACGTTCTCCATGGCTTCTCCAGACCCTTTCACGTCTGTCACATGTGCTCAGGGTGAACCTGCTCTCATCTGTGAAAAGCAAAGGGTGCCAGTGATGGACCTGCCAATTCTGGTGTTCAATGCCAAATGCCAATCCAGTTCTATGGTGCCAGGCAGTGAGCACAGGGCCTACTAGAGGACGTTGGGCCCTTAGGCCACCCTCACAAAGTCTGTTTCTGATTGTTTGGTCAGAGACATTCACACCAGTGGCCTGCTGGGGGTCATTTTGTAGGGCTCTGGCAGGGCTCATCCCGTTCCTCCTTGCACAAAGGCGCAGATACTGGTCCTGCTGGTGGGATAAGGACCTTCGACGGCCCTGTCCAGCTCTCCTAGAGGAACTGCCTGTCTCCTGGAATCTCCTCCATGTTCTGGTCTCCTGGAATCTCCTCCATGCTCTTGTCTCCTGGAATTTCCTCCATGTTCTTGAGACTGTGCTGAGAGACACCGCAAACCTTCTGGCAATGGCAGGTATTGATGTGCAATCCTGAAGGAGTTGGACTGCCTGTGCAACCTCTGTAGGGTCCAGGTATGGCCTCATGCTACCAGTAGTGACACTGACCCCGGCCAAATGCAAAACTAGTGAAAAACAGTCAGAAAAGATGAGTAGAGAAAAAAATGTCAGTGGCCCCCACCTGTAAAACCATTCCTGCTTTGGGAGTCAACTCATTGTTGCCCATCTAGTGCACCTGTTGTTAACTTCATGAATACCAAAGTAGCTGAAACTGATGAACACCCCCCTCTGCAACTTACCTGACCAGATCAATATCCCAGGAGGTTCATTGACTCGATGCGACTCGGATGAAAAAATTTGCCTTTCATTTGTGGTTTTTTTAACCCTCACCTATATTGCATCAGTCCACCTCACTCTCTTTTGTTGATGTCCAAAGCTGGTCCCAGTGCTAGGACAAGGTCATCTAGTGCCCAGGGCACAGATGCCAAATGACGCCCCCCCCTCCAAAATGTATGAGCATTGTGTGTCAGCAAAAATCCCCCCGCAAATGAAAATTCAACCACTAATCTTTACACTTAAGCAAAAATTCCCTTTGCAAGTCAAAATTCTCCCTAAACAAAAAATGTACCCTCTTCAAGTACAAATCCCCCCTCACAGCTCACATCCACCCCCTCCCACAATCATCCCTACTAGCACAAATCCTCACCTCCAAATCCTTCTTCCTAATACAAATCCACCCCCCTAGTACAATCCACCCCCCCTAGTACAAATCCACCCCCTAGTACAAGTCTACCCCCCAGTACAAATCCACCCCCCCCCCACCCCCCTAGTACAAATTCACCCTCCTAGTACAAATCCACCCCCCCAGTACAAATGGTCCCCACCCCCACAAATCCACCCCCCCTAGTACACACCCCCCTATCTACCCCCCCAAGTACAAAAATCCACCCCCCTAGTACAGTAATCCACCCCCCTAGTACAAATTCACCCTCCTAGTACAAATCCACCCCCTAGTACAAATACCCTCCCAGTACAAATCCACCCCCTAGTACAAATCCACCCTCCTAGTACAAAAATCCACCCCCAAGTACAAATCCACCCTCCTAGTACAAAGTACAAATCCACCCCCCTAGTACAAATCCACCCCCTAGTACAAATTCCACCCTCCTAGTACAAATCCACCCCCTAGTACAAATCCACCCCCTAGTACAAATCCACCACCCCCAGTACAAATCCACCACCCCCAGTACAAATCCACTCTTCCTAGTACAAATCCACCCTCCTAGTACAAATCCACCCCCAAGTACAAATCCACCTCCTAGTAAAAATCCACCCTCCTAGTACAAATCCTACCCCCCTAGTACAAATCCACCCTCCTAGTACAAATCCACCCCCCTAGTACAAATCCACCCCCTAGTACAAATCCACCCTCCTAGTACAAATCCACCCCCAAGTACAAATCCACCCTCCTAGTACAAAATCCACCCCCAAGTACAAATCCACCCTCCTAGTACAAATCCACCCCCCTAGTACAAATCCACCCTCCTAGTACAAATCCACCCCCAAGTACAAATCCACATCCCTAGTACAAATCCACCCTCCTAGTACAAATCTACCTCCTAGTACAAATCCATGGCCCTATTAAAAATCCACCCCCCCAGTATAAATCCCCCTCCAAATCCCCCGCTTCACTCAGGGCAGCCGCCCCTCCTGTCCACCCCTTGTCCCAGTCTTGGCTGATAATATCCTGTTTAAACCTGTCTTGGATGTTTGATTCTGGTGATATGTGGTCAGCTTTAGATTTGTGGTCAGTTCACACAAAGAAAGGGACCTGGACAATGCAACACAACTAATGACTAGAATGGGAGCTCTGTGTTTTATTTGACACTAAATGACCCCTCAATGTAGGATTTGGCATTGGAGAAGAGAATAGTGAACTGCAGGGTAACCCCAAAATGTTTTCATTTTTTTATCATGTATTCATTACAGAATAAGAAAGCTTTGCTTTCATTCACAACTGGCGGTCCACAATCAATGTACACCCCTTCAGGGACGAACGGAGACATGAACGTCATTCTGTGGCCAATCCAGGTAAGGCGTCTTATTTGTTATGTCAGTTAAAAGTGCAAAAGTAATTGCCCCTCGGACTTTAAGGAGGTCACAACACAACTGAGCATATGAAGCAGGGGGTCTCCAAACTATCTAAAGAAAGGGCCGATTTACTGTCCTTCAGACTTTAGGGGGGCCGGAGTGTGCCCAGTGGGAGTACACGATGCCCCATCTTTGGTATTGGGGGGGGGGGGGGGAGTTGGTATCAGTGGGAGGAATAGTGCCCCATTATTGTGTGTCAGTGGGAGGAATAGTGCCCCATTGTTTGGTGTCAGTGGGAGGAATAGTGCCCCATTATTGGTGTCAGTGGGAGGAATAGTGCCCCATTATTGGTATCAGTGGGAAGAATAGTGCCCCATCATTGGTGTCAGTGGGAGGAATAGTGCCCCATCATTGGTGTCAGTGGGAGGAATAGTGCCCCATTATTGGTGTCAGTGGGAGGAATAGTGCCCCATCATTGGTGTCAGTGGGAGGAATAGTGCCCCATCATTGGTGTCAGTGGGAGGAATAGTGCCCCATCATTGGTGTCAGTGGGAGGAATAGTGCCCCATCATTGGTGTCAGTGGGAGGAATAGTGCCCCATTATTGGTGTCAGTGGGAGGAATAGTGCCCCATTATTGGTATCAGTGGGGGGAATAGTGTCCCATCATTGGTGTCAGTGGGAGGAATAGTGCCCCATCATTGGTATCAGTGGGAAGAATAGTGCCCCTTCATTGGTGTCAGTGGGAGGTATAGTGCCCCATCATTGGTGTCAGTGGGAGGAATAGTGCCCCATCATTGGTATCAGTGGGAAGAATAGTGCCCCTTCATTGGTGTCAGTGGGAGGTATAGTGCCCCATCATTGGTGTCAGTGGGAGGAATAGTGCCCCATCATTGGTGTCAGTGGGAGGAATAGTGCCCCATCATTGGTGTCAGTGGGAGGAATAGTTCCCCATTATTGGTGTCAGTGGGAGGCATAGTGCCCCATTGTTGGTGTCAGTGGCAGGAGCAATGCCTCAAGGGCCGGATAAAGGCAAGCAAAGGGCCACATCAGGCCCCAAGTCATGCAGTATTTTAGTAGTGAATAGGTTTTTTCATGTTTCATCTGTCAGCCGGGTTCCCCACTGACAGCTGAATGTAAAAAGAATTGTCGGCATTGCCCGAAAATCATTTTCTTTTTATAAAAACGGTGTGTGGTCCCCCCTCAATTTCATACCAAGCCCTTCAGGTCTGGTATGGATTTTGAGGGGAACCTCCACGCCAAACTTTTTTACAAAATGGCATGGGGGTCCCCCCCTCAAAATCCATACCAGACCCTTATCCAAGCATGCAGACTGGCAGGTCAGGAAAGGGGTGGGATGAGCAAGTGCCCCTCCCTTCCTGAACCACACCAGGCCACATGCCCTCAACGTGGGGGAGTGCTTTTGGGCAGGGCGGGGGGCTCTCCCCCAAAGCACCTTGTTGATGGGGACAAGGGCCTCTTCCCCAATACCGTGGCCAGTGATTGGTGGGGTCGTGGGTCTTTGGGAGGGGGGCTTAACTGAATATGGAAGCCCCCTTTAACAAGGGGGACCTCAGATCCTGGCCTACCCTATGTGAATGAGTATGGGGTACATGGTACTGCTACTCATTCACACAAAAAAAAAAAAAGTGCAGGGTACAAAATGACAGGAGACTTTGACAAGTCCTTTCAACAAAAAATAAAAAAAATATGTCCCCTGAAGTAGATCCAACATCAATCACAATGCACCCGCCGCCACCGACCCGAAAAAAAAGAAAAAAAATGCTCCGATCTCAACACCGGATCCCGCTGTCTGACAGTTCTCATATTGTAATGACGTCACAAGGGGGCGGGGTCACCACTGCCCTCAGGTGACATCATCATGCGTTGTGATTGGCCAAAGCATTGCACCTGACCTGTGTTCAGGTGCATTGCTTTCGCCAATCACAATGCACTGTCAGGGCACAGTGCATCATGGGACACCCTTACCGTTTGTGTGTTCGCCGAACACATGAACAGCCGATGTTCAAGTCAAACTTATGTTCATCTTGAACATCTATCCCAACCCTACATGTTACATAACTTCATTCCTGAATGCACAGGGCCCAAAAGGAGAGTACCTACTAGGTACAAAGTTCATCCCCATCCAACAGTCATAGACTTTGACAGCTGGCCTGGAAGCTGTACCAGATGGAGCTCCATAACTTGACCCAACTACAACACATTTCAAAGCATCTGCCTTTTCATTGAGATGGCAGACTGGAACATTATCTCTTTATAAAGCATAATAAAGTAAAAGCAACTACCCCAATGAAGAGGTAGGTGGTATCATTGGTTGGAGCTTTTACCTAGCCAACAATCTGCATGTTGTATTTTGCCCCTCCTGGGTGCACTAAAACATCTGGAGGAACGCACTTCACATAGATGGCCTTGTGTGAAAGAGGCCGTATGATCACCCCATAACAAGGAAAGGAAAACAATGTGTGATATATATATATATATATATATATATATATATACTCTATATTGCCAAACGTATTGGGCCGCCGGCCTTTCCACACACATGACCATTAATGGCCTCCCAGTCTTAGTTCGTAGGGTTCAATATTGGGCTGCCGGCCTTTCCACACACATGACCTTTAATGGCCTCCCAGTCTTAGTTCGCAGGGTTCAATATTGGTCCGCCGGCCTTTCCACACACATGACCTGTAATGGCCCCCCAGTCTTAGTCCGTAGGGTTCAATATTGAGTTGGCTCCGCCCTTTGCAGCTATAACAGCTTCAACTCTTCTGGGAAGGCCGTCCACAAGGTTTAGGAGGGTGTCTATGGGAAGGTTGGACCATTCTTCCAGAAGCACATTTGTCAGGTCAGGCACTGACCACTTTGTTATAATCCCACTAACAGTTGAGCGTGGAATATTTAGTAGCTAGGAAATGTCACGGATGGACTTATTGCCCAGGTGGCCACCTATCACGGGACCACGCTTGGAGTCACTGAGCTCCTGAGAGCGACCCATTCTTTCACCAATGTCTGTAGAAGCAGTCTGCATGTCTAGGGGATGCATTGTATACACCTGTGTCCATGGAGGGGATTGGAACACCTGAATCACATGATTGGGAGGGGATTGGAACACCTGAATCACATGATTGGGAGGGGATTGGAACACCTGAATCACATGATTGGGAGGGCGGGGACAATACTTTTGGTAATATAGTGTATATTCAATACTGACGAGTGGTTAATTTATGTAAACAATGGTGAACCAAAAAGGTATGTTGACTCATGGCCACTGAAAAACAAAAGACAACATGCAGATTGATGGAGTCATTGGTTGGAGCTCTCACCCAGTCACCTACCTCTTCATCAGAGTAGTTGTTTATACTTTATTATACCTTAGAGACATATAACGTACCAGTCTACCATCATGAGGAAATGGCAGATGCTTTGAAATACGTTGTAGTTGGGTCAAGTCATGGAGCTCCATCCAATCACTGTTCTCCGCAGCAGGGAAACCAATAGGCACCCTTGACTATTACGCATCCCATCTTCATGACCCAACGATTATTGCTTTAACTCACGATATCCCTTTCCGTCTGCAGAATGGTATTCTGAATTTCTGTGGCTTTAAAGTCTTGGAGCCCCAAATCTTATACGCCGTGGCTCACGTGCCCCAGGAGGCCCGTGTGGGGATGCTGAAGAGCTGGGAGAAGCGACTGGAGACCATTTGGGATGAAAATCCAGTCAAATTCCTTCCACTTCAAGACTTTGAAGGCTTCTCTGGTGGATTTGTACTGAAGAAAGAGGTGGAGGAGTCGCTGTCTGAATCCAAGTATGCTCCAACGGTGGGGCAGCACCTGGGGAAGCCTCTACCACCTGACAGCCAGGTGAAAGCAGAATGCTCCAAGCTGTAAAAGTGTTATGGCGCACACAGGGGACGAGGGACCGTGCCATCGGTGGGACTGGAGTGATGGGACAAAGCTGTTTCTATGCACAGACTCCACCAAAAAAAACTTACAGGACTTTTTAGGCAAATTAAAATCAAAATGTTTTTAAAATTCCCTACATTCTTTATTACGACTGTATCATAAAAACTTCCTTTAGTTCATAGTATATAAAACAATGTGTCCATACAAAATCATGTGTACATGGTATAATTGTTACAAGGAGTTACATTGTAGAAAAGTATTACTAGTTTGCAGAGACTTTCAACGCGTTTCGGAGGCCAAAGCTCCTTCATCAGGGTTAACTCTGCGGACAGTGCAGTGTAATATCTCAATAAGACACACAATATTTAAAAGTAACAAATGCTGAAGATATCATACTCAGGGCATTGCCACATCAGAACAACCTTCCGATCTTATAGGAAGAGAAAAAATGGTCTCCACATCACATTATGGACCACCTGAAGCCGACTGTCAAGGATCCGGGTATGACCAGAGATGTGTGGACCGACACAGGGAAACGCAGACTTCAGGTATAGTATCAATCAATACAATTTATTAAAGGCTAACATAAACACAGTGCAAACAAACCAAACCTCCAACAGATAATAATATGTACAACACCAAACGTAGTCAGGCGGGCCAGGTCGGTAGCAAACGGGCAGACAAGGTACAAGGAGCAGGCGGAAGAGTGGTCAAAAATAGCCGAGGTCCGTACAGGCAGAGTTCGTGCAGAGTCAGGATCAATGCAAAGTCAGGATCAGGCAGGAAGCAGACAGGATGCAGGTACAGGGGCTCATGGGAACAATTACACCAAGTCACTGACTGCAGGCCTGGCCATTCCTTAAATACACCTCCTGCAATTAGCCTCAGGTGATGGCTTGATTGCAGGAGTGAGCTTCTGGCTGCTGAGAGCACCCGCTGGCCAGCCCTGGTACTGCAGCCCACACGGCAGGTGAGTCCCACCACCAGTGGTGAATCCATTCCTGACACCGACACTGGGATCGCCTGTATATAGAGGACGTAGGAAGATGACAAGGGACATGTCCAGATTATAAAACAGTTCTCATACGGCATGAAATGTCCCTGTTGTATTCCATCCAGAAAGGGTCTACATTCCTCAGTGTCAATAGGCACATACACCCTTCAGGAAATGCTGGGACTATGAATGTATGAGCGTCTGGTTCTTTAGCCGAAAGCAACCAATCAGATTTTCCTTTTCATGTTTCCAGAGCAAAAATTAAAAATGAAATGGCAAATGTGATTGGTTACTATGTGTAAAAGAGGCTGGACTTCCTCCGGACATGAATATGCCCGAGACCTTTACAATGGCCAACCTTGACCACGTCTTCTAGCTTCCTGCATCTGAATTGTGCAACCAAATATTTGTACAGTTGTGTTCAACATAATAGCAGTGTGTTGTAAAAAAGTGAATAAAGCTGAAAATCCTTCTAATAGCTTTTATTTCCATCCACACAAATGCATTGGGAACACGACACATTCTATTCCAAATCACAACATGAAGAAAAATACATCAAATTTGTGTTGTTCCTCTAAAAAAATGGAAGAAAAGTGAATATTAGACGGTTCAAAAAAATCGCAGTGTTTGTATTCTTCTTTACAAACTCAAACATTCACTATATAAACTGAGAAATGTTTGAAGATTTTGCTTTCCTTTGAATGACTTCATGAATATTTGGTTGTAGTCGCACTGTTTCTGAGAACTGCTGTACATCTGTGTTGCATGGAGTCCCCCAACTTCTGGCCCCTGTGATCAGGTATTCCAGCCCAGGATGATTGGACCACATTCCACAGTTCTTCTCTATTTCTTGGTTTTGCCTCAGAAACGGCATTTTTGATGTCACCCCACAAGTTTTCTATTGGATGAAGATCCGGGGATTGGGCTGGCCACTCCATAACGTCCACCTTGTTGGTCTGGAACCAAGATGTTGCACGTTTACTGGGTGTGTTTGGGGTCGTTGTCTTGTTGGAACACCCATTTCAAGGGCATTTCCTCTTCAGCATAAGGCAGCATGACCTCTTCAAGTATTCTGATGGATTCAAACTGATCCATGATCCCTGGTATGTGATAAATAGGCCCAACACCGTAGTATGAGAAACATCCCCATATCATGATGCTTGCACCACCATGCTTCACGGTCTTCACAGTGTACTGTGGCTTGAATTCAGTGTTTGGGGGTCATCTGACAAACTGTCTCCGCCCACTAGACCCAAAAAGAACAATCTTACTTTCATCAGTCCACAAAATGTTGCACCATTTCTCTTTAGGCCGGTCAATGTGCTCTTTGGCAGATTGTAACCTCTTCAGCACACATCTTTTTTCCAACAGTGGGACTTTGCGGGGGCTTCTTGCAGATAGCTTGGCTTCACATCGGCGTCTTCTAATTGTAACAGTCCTCACAGGGAACGTCACACCTTCTTTCATCTTCCTGGAGCTGATTGTTGGCTGAGTCCGCCCCATTTTGGCTATTCTTCTATCCATTCCAATGGTAGTTTTTCGCTTTCTTCCACGTCTTTCAGGTTTTGGTTGCCATTTTAAAGCATTTGCCATCATTTAGCTGAGCAGCCGATCATTTTCTGCACTTCTTTATATGTTTTCCCCTTCAATCAACTTTTTAATCAAGGTACGCTGTTCTTCTGAACAATGTCTGGAACGACCCATTTTCCTCAGAATCTCAGAGAGAAATGCACTGTAACCAGCATCTACAACATTTGCTGCTCTCCCCGGACCCCGCATTCACTATATCTGGTCTCCCCGGACCCCGCATTCACTATATCCGCTCTCCCCGGACCCCGCCCCCATTCACTATATCTCCCACGGACCCGCATTCACTATATCCGCTCTCCCCGGAACCCGCATTCACTATATCCGCTCTCCCCGGAACCCGCATTCACTATATCCGCTCTTCCCGGACCCGCATTCACATCCGCTCTCCCCGGACCCCGCATTCACTATTCCGCTCTCCCCGGACCCGCATTCACTATATCCGCTCTCCCCGGACCCCGCATTCACTATATCCGCTCTCCCCCGGACCCCGCATTCACTATATCCGCTCTCCCCGGACCCCGCATTCACTATATCCGCTCTCCCCGGACCCCGCAATCACTATATCCGCTCTCCCCGGAACCCGCATTCACTATTTCCGCTCTCCCCGGACCCCGCATTCACTATATCCGCTCTCCCCGGACACCGCATTCACTATATCCGCTCTCCCCGGACCCCGCATTCACTATATCTGCTCTTACCGGACCCCGCATTCACTATATCCGCTCTCCCCGGACCCCGCATTCACTATATCCGCTCTCCCTGGACCCCGCATTCACTATATCCGCTCTCCCCGGACCCCGCATTCACTATATCCGCTCTCCCCGGACCCCGCATTCACTATATATCCGCTCTCCCCGGACCCCGCATTCACTATATCCGCTCTCCCCGGGACCCCGCATTCACTATATCCGCTCTCTCCCGGACCCCGCATTCACTATATCCGCTCTCCCCGGACCCCATTCACTATATTCATGCCCAAGCGCTTGATTGCCTGTAAGAGATCATATACCAACATCTGAATATTTTGTTTGTTTCGGGGTGAAATCTCTGCGTTTGATTGCCGCACATCACAGGGCTGAACACGCTACACTTTAGCGCCCTCTAGCGTGGAACTTAGAGAATGCTCTGCAGTGGCCTGTCCAGATCTACAGCATCCCTCTCAAAAATGGCCTCCAGGGCGGGGGTACCGGTGGACTTCACCTATGTGGTTGGGGGGGGGGCATTAATTTAATACTCAGACCAGTGGAAAGTTGCCACGTATTTCTGATGTAGCTAAGGCTGGCCATACACTATACAATTTTCTGTTCAATTTCTGCCCAATTTCCTTTAGATTTAACTTCAACTATGTAGTGCAAGGGCCCCGCCTGATTGGATACAATTTAAAGTGGCATCGCTATGGGGGTATGGGGGGTGTGGACCGCACCTGGGTGACACTGTAGCAGCTAAGATCTGTATCCCCTGTAGCAACTGCGCATGCGCCAGTTTCAGGCACAGAAGGCCGAACGAATGGTCGGTGGGACACAGGGTGGATTAACCCCTTACGTGCTGAATGGTCTGCGGTGCACAGGCAGGATCGGTGGGATACATGCCGATTGGTCGGCGGGACAAAGGCAGGATCGGCGGGACACAGGGAGAATTAACCCGTCATGCTGAATAGTCAGTGGGACACAGGCAGGATTAACCCCTTACATGCTGAATGGTCGACGGGACACAGGCAGGATCGGTGGGACACAGGGAAGATTAACCCCTTACATGCCAATTGGTTGGCGGGACACAGGCTGGATTAACCCCTTACATGCCGATTGGTCAGCAGGACACAGGGGTGGATTAACCTCTTACATGCCGATGGTCGGCAGGACACAGGCAGGAATCGGCAGGACACAGGGTGGATTAACCTGTTGCATGCTGAATGGTCGACGGGACACAGGCAGGATCGGTGGGACACAGGCTGGATTAACCCCATACATGATTCGATTAGTCGGTGGGACACAGGCAGGATCGGCAGGACACAGGGCGGATTAACTCCTTACATGCTGAATGGTCAGGACACAGACAGGAACGGTGGGACACAGGCAGGATAGGCGAGACACAGGGTGGATTAACCCCACACACGCCGATTGGTCGGTGGGACACAGGCAGGATTGGTGGTACACAGGGTGGATTAAGCCCTTACACGCCGATTGGTTGGGGGGACACAGGCAGGTTCAGTGGGACACAGGGTGAATTTACCCCTTACTAAGCAATATGATAGTTTGACAAGAACACCCCTATCTGAAAAAAGAAGGTTTCTAGATGATCCACGCGGAGTAATATGGATTCAACAAGAATTTTAACAATACTTTATTTGATCACATAGATCATAGGGAGGTTAAACATGAGCACAGTGTACATATGAAAAAATAAAATCATGTTAAAAAACACTTAGCGTCTTCAATTTAGGGTCATCTTAGCCAACAGAGCACCATATAAGGCAGAGTGTTGTGTAATGATGAAATAGTTTATCCTGGGTTTCCGTAGGTTTCCCCCGCTTTAAATTTGAGTGAACCATGTATCAGTAGGGTGTCAGTTCCCAATATATGTCAGGGACCCTCCTGGAATGTAAAAGCTGGAACACAAAAATACATAGTATATGTATAGAAATATGGAAACCAAATCACGAATCCAGCTTGTATTCACCAGGCCTCCCTCCAACAATAGTCAATGGATACTGCTGTTACCTTCTCAATAGTGAGACTATCATTCCCGCTTCTCAAGTGTAAGGGACTTCCTGGATAGCCACCCCAAATGAAACAAGGTCCACAGTACCAAATGATTCTGAGGATATATATAGAAAAAGATAATAAAACATGTATAGATCATGGGCATCAGGTGACCCCCGAAAACAAAACACACACAAAAATGTGGATATACAGTCATGGCCGAAATTGTTGGCACCCTTGATATTTTTTTCCTGAAAATCAAGTATTACCACACAAAAACGGTATTGCATTAACACATGATTTTGACTATACACATGTTTATTCCCTTTTGTATGAATTGGAACAAATATAAAACAGAGGCAGAAAAGCAAATTATGACATAATGTCACACAAAACCCCAAAAATGGGCTGGACACAAAAGCTATTGGCACCCTTAACTTAATATTTTTGGTTGCACACGCCTTTGGAAAACATAACTGAAATCAGTCGCTTTCCTATAACCATCAATCACAGCTTCTGACAACCTCACGACACCCGGAATTTTGACCACACTCTTCCTTTGCAAACAGCTCCAGGTCTCCTCTTATTGGAACTGGGGACACCTTTTCCCAACAGCAATTTTAAGATCTCTCCACAGGTGTTCAATGGGATTTAGATCTGGGCTCATTGGATGGCCACTTACAGAACTCTCCAGCGCTTCTTTATGGCCATCCATTTCTGAGTGCTTTTTGGACGTATGTTTGGGTGTCATTCTGTCATGCGCGGATAGACCAGTGATCTTGGACGCAAACCCAGCTTTCTGAACACTGGGGCCCTACAGTGCGACCCAAAATCCTTTGGTAATCCTTCAGATGTCATGGATGCCTTGCCACACAGTCCAAGGCACCCAGTGCCAGAGGCAGCAATAACCACCTCAATACATCATTTGAAACCTCCACCATATTTTTACCGTTAAGCGTACTGTCGTTTTGTTCTTTGTAGGCCTCATTCCGTATTTCGGTAAACAGTAGTAGAATGATGTGCTTTACACATTAACCGAAAAGCTCTATCGTCGGATCTCATCTGTCCACAAGACCGTTTTCCCAGAAGGCTTTTACTTACTTTAAGAAAATTTTGGCAAACTGTAGTCCCTTTTTTTTTATTTTCTCGTGTCAGCATTTGGGGGCCCCCCCCGGGTCTCCCGCCATTGCGTTTTTATTTCATTTAAATGGCGAGGAAAAGTTCGCCCCTTGGGCATGATGCTCCCCGAGCCTGCAGGGCAGGGTTGAAAAGGGCTTTGGAACTTTGGGGTGCTTATACCCATCCGGGCTATTCTGCGTTGCAATCTTTTCATCAATTTTCCCCCATCCGTCCACGACCAGGGAATTAGCTACAGTGCCCTGGGGTTTCAAACTTCTTGATAAGGGTTCGCACCCCTGGACAAAGGCAAAACAGTTCTCTGGGGGATGGGCTTGGGAACCTTTTAGATTGTTGATATTTTGCCCCAATTTTGGGGGTTTTCCGGTCCTCAGACAGTTCTTTGCTCCTCTTTTTTTGGTCCTTGCTTTTTTGGCACAGGGCAGACACACCCAAAGCAAAGGTTAAAATGAACGTCCTCTCCTTTTTTTTCTGCTTTCAGGTTTTGGGTTTCTATATTTTCCCACACCTGTTTTCCCTTCCCCAAAGGGAGTTTAAAGGGCATCCCCATGTTGTTTAAAAATTTTTATTTATTTCCCCAGTTTTTTGAAAGGGTTTCCAATCTTTTTTTCCAGCCCCCTTTTTGGAGGGTTTTTGTACAAAATTTTGTCGAATTTTTCTTTCTTTCCTCCCTTTTTTTTTTTTTCTGTTCCCCCAAAACACACAAAGGGAATAAAAAATTTGTATAGCAAAACCCTTTTGTTAAAGCAATACGTTTTTGTGAGAAATACATGATTTCCAGAAATATCAAGGGGGCCAACAAATTTTTGGGCCCTGACTTTTTACCATCAAAAAGGATCAGAAACTCCCGTCGACTTG